CACTTTCCAATACTTTCTGGGCATTGGTAAAGTATTCCTATGAAATGTTCTACTGTCCTAGCCTTCCGTTAAAACAGAGAGTCTGCAGATCACAAGAACTGTAGAAGAGACTGACTGCAGTGTTATTAATACACAACAAACAGAATTTGAAAATTCTGCCCATACATAAATATACTGACAGGTGAACCATTTTACACATGTAAATAACATATCCATTCTCCTCCTCCTTACTCTCAAAATGATAAAACATCACTACAATAGATGGTGGGAACAATATATATATTGTTTAAGCTCAACAGAAAGCAAGCGATTGTTAAGCGATTACACTAGAAGAATAGCATTGCACTTCATCGTTCTCGAGATTTCCAATTGAAATCTGCATGTAGAAGGTTTTATAAATATTACATATACCTATAAATTCCAAATGATCAGAATTCAAATGGTGTTCAAATACACTATGCAAGATATACAGTAAGCTATATCATTAAAAACATCAATGACCATATTTTTTATTCTCTTCATTTTATTACCTCAGTCACTGTCAAATTTTCTCAACTTCTTCAAACACCTCCCCCACTTATAATCCAATTCAAACATTGCCTGAGCAAGATGACTGAGAACAGTAATTGATTTGTGAAAGTTTGAGGTCAGTCTTACAAAGAACAAGCAAAAGCGAGGATGAAAAGAAAGGCATATTTGTACATAGAGGTAGTTAATTACTTTGCTTCTGCTGTATTCACACACATATAATTACAAAAACATACAAAGTTCAAAGGTCAGAAGATATGATTCTCAAACTGACAAGAGGTCTTTAATAGTGTTAAAACCTCCATCTTAAGTAGGAGAAAAGAAAACTTAACTGCAACAAAACATGTTACGTTTGAGTTGAGAGAACCTGTAAACAAGTCAGAAGACATGATGTTGAAGATGTCATATTGGACCCCAAGGCTAAGCAGCATATCCACTACATTATTCATCACAACAGATCTGACAGGTGACGTGAAAAATTCCATCTGAAACAAAACATTCTTGTAATACAGATCTGAGAATGATGCTTTATAAAAAATTACCTAATTCTGATCAGGAATGAAAACTGTCCATGGGCATTTGCTGTACATATGGTTGAATCAGGAGTTCAACCATGAATGATTTCATAGGTGCTTTATGTAAATCTTCTTCACAGAGATAACACTCAATCATAAGATAAAATTGGTCAAGACATAAGTAGCTATAAAGGACTGTTTGTAAGTCCATTGTTAGAAAAAAAAAATATATATATATATATAAAGAATTGAACCTAAGAAAGAAGATAAAACATTGACAAAAATTTTCTATGACTAGAAAGAATGAGTATGGAAAAAATAAAACAAGAACAGAAGCCTAATAATATTCATGTAGAGAGATGTGAGATCATTCATATGTCTCATAAGAAACCTCACCAAAAGGATATACAAAAAACTAATCAAGCCAGTGATGTATTACAGAATGAAACTTTTAGAAAAAAAAGAATAAAATAAAAAGGAGAACTTTTCTTGCACTTAAATCATCTAGAAAGATGCAAGTTCCCTGTAAGTGGTGCACGGGTGCCGAGGAATTGTTGAAGTGACAAGATGGGAAAACAAGTATGGTATGATCATACAGCGTACTCATGCAACATATAGTAATGGTCTTCTAAGAGGAAAAGAGCCATCATTACCAGCAAATTAACCACAGATTGTATTTGGCGAGAACAGATTCATAGGAGCCATGAAAGCAGGGGTCAAATTCTGCTGCTACTCACTGGTACTGAGTACTGGGACTTATTCTTTAAGTCAGTACTAGTACCAGGACTTATTTGAGCTGTGTTTTTGGATGCACATGCATTCCACAGTTCCATCACAAAGCATTTATTCATGATACTCAAATTGTCATTTTTTATGTTAACAAAATTTTTTTTTTTTCAAAAAACAGGTCCACTTCACCCAGCCGAGTACCTCTACTTCTTTTTTTTTGAGAATTTCACCACTGAAAGAAATCGACTGAAATACTGCAGATGCTAATGGTTTAACAAGTAAGAAAAATCAAAACAAAAAAACCTATTACAAGCTAGGTAGTAACAGAGCTCACTGGTGGTTTAAGCATCTATTTGAGTCAACAGGTGGAAAACCCAGAAGAAGAGATGTAGATTCTGTCACTTTTTAAATTTCTGAAGTGTATGAAAATTAATAGAATGTGATTATGGATGTGATTTTAATCAACCAGAGCAAAACGTGTTTGAGTCTTATTAAATACACATAGATCCAAGACCAGTAAATCCGTCCTTTCTCCAAGTGGACTTTTGTTGTAAGATATTAATATGAAAGAGTAAAACAAATCCTGAGAAAAAACACATAATTCACACAGAAGATCAAACAAGAAGGATGTAAAAGGTAGTACATTCACACAGAAGATCAAACAAGAAGGATGTAAAAGGTAGTACATTCACACAGAAGATCAAACAAGAAGGACGTAAAACGTAGTACATTCACACAGAAGATCAAACAAGAAGGACGTAAAACGTAGTACATTCACACAGAAGATCAAACAAGAAGGATGTAAAAGGTAGTACATTCACACAGAAAAACAAGAAGGATGTAAAAGGTAGTACATTCACACAGAAGATCAAACAAGACGGATGTAAAAGGTAGTACATTCACACAGATCAAACAAAAAGGATGTAAAAGTTAGTACTAGAATTGTTAGAGTACACTGAACTGTTAAAGAAAATTTTGATCAAGAAAAACTCCCCAAGAGATAGAATTAATGAATGTTGGGTTACAATAATATCAAACCACTAATTAAAGACTCCCCTACATGACTATAATTATAACCAAATGGAATAAAAATTGATATACTCTTACAAGTAAATCTGCTTGTAGAGAAATGAGACAAAGAAAAAAACAACAAAGAGATAGAAACATAGATTGACAAAAGAAGGCAGATTTATTTACAAGTCAAATAAATGTAGCTTAACGTCAAGTTAAAGAGCAGTCCAAGTTAGTTGCATATGCAGCTAATCATAAGAAAATAGACTAGAGTGAAACTCTTGTTGAAGCCACTCTCTAAAAAAACCATCATCTTCAAAACTGCTAAATAACAAATGTTTCAGAAAACACAGAAGTAGAATAAACCAATTGATAAATAAAAAAAAGAAAAAAAAAGATCACCAATTTTTCCTTTATGCCATGATTTACAGAGAATTAAAAAAGAAGGGACAAGGGTTTTTTTTTCCTGCCAGTAAATCTGGCCCATAATTATTTCTGAAAGTCAAAAAACTCCAGATAATAGAGATGTGAAGAAAGATAACAGTGACTAATAACATTAGATATAAGATGACAAAGACCTGCTAAAACCAATTAAAATCTTTAAACTGGAAATCATCAGACAAAAACCTGTCTTTTACCACCACTAAATTATCAAACATATGTCTAAATAGGCTACAAAAAATGCAAGTATAAACAAAATTGGCTACAAGTTTAAAAATGAACAGATATCCAAGAGATTTAGTCAAAATGTTAACAGTCACATAATTAAGACAATAGTAGATATCTTTTTGTTTCCTCTATGCTTGTCTTTTATTTCTGCATATTATGTTTTGTATATACTTTTCATTAACTCATCATAGTAAGGTTTGAATCATTTTCTTCTTAGTGGAATGTTTTATCAACTTTTTCTAAAACTTAAATTGACAGCAAAGTCAATTAAATGCTTTACTTTTTATACAAAGAAAATTCAGAGTATTTCAAACAATAGAAAATTTTAAACTGAAGACAATAATCAATATTCAAAACAGTGGCACAGTAAGGAATATGAAGTATAAGGCAAAAGTTGAACTTGACACAAAGACAGTCAATAAAAATAGTTTAAAGCTGTTAAATGTCAGTAGATATCTCGCTGGGTATGTAGGTACAATAAAAACTGCTCATAAATAAAGAGACCGGCAGTGTTATTAATACACAACAAACAGAATTTGAAAATTCTGCCCATACATAAATATACCAACAGGTGAACCATTTTACACATGTAAATAGCATATCCATTCTAACTAACTGTATTTAATGCTTTAGTTGGTAACATCTGTTCTTTATGTGCATCTGAAAAACAATAAATAATTCAGCTTGGAAATTATTAAGCCTAGAATTACCTATATGTATCATTCTGGCTTTTTAATAACATTTTTTTTTTACTAAACTACTTATGCACCAAATGCTTTTGGGTTCATGACTTTGTTATTTACATTGTTTAAGTGTCCCTAAAATAACATCAGTATTTCAATGAATTGCACTAATCCATAACTGCTACGGTACCCTAAGTTAATGTAGTAACAGGCAAGAAAAAGTTACTTAATAAGATGCAATATGTATGAACCCCACCAGTCATGGCAATATACAAACAAGTCAGTAATTTGAAGATTAAGAAATACGCTGAAAACTTAAGATAACAAGATTATTTACAGTTTAATTTTGAGTTTACTTACTGATTAATTAATGTATAATATATATAAATCGACATTCAACAACTTAGACTGTTGAATGTTGATTTAAATACTAAAACCTTCTTTACCATTAAAACTTGTGTACTTGAAAATTATCGCACCAGTGATCAAAACATCATACCTGTTCTAAAAAATAATCTTCATTATTATAAAAGTTGTAACTTGTAGTAAGATTATTTATCTTTCTTAAACTTTGATTATTAAGCTCATAGATCATCACATACCACATGATTTTTTAAATGCTGATATGAAACTTCATTACCACATTCGAGAAACAAAATTTACATGTCTATATTGTAAGTACAAGTTGTGGCTTGAGTTAATAACACTAAAAACAGAAAAGAATACTTGAACATGAGTGAAAGTAAGCAAGCTTAAATGATACCTACTAATACCCATGTTACAATATTTTGTATTTATGGCACAGTTACCAAGGCTATCTGCCACTAACCCTAACTTTGAACTCCTGATTGCATTATCCTACTATCCATGCTAATGGATTGACTGTTACCCTTATAAAACACCCACAGCTTAAAGTATGTGGAATATTTTATAGTACTGCATGGACTATAACCTATCTTGCTTGCTCCAAAATCCAGAGCATTTCACGGGGCGAATCCTTATTCCTTACAGGGGAATAAAATAGGTATTTTTTGTAGTAATAATAAGATGAGAAAAATTGCTTAAGGTTAATGAAAACTGTAAGAATTATCAACCTTAATGTACATTAACACAGATGTGGTACTTGCATGAAAATTTATGTTCAGAATGAAATAAGTGACCATTTCATTCTGAAGTAATGACATATTATTACTGATAATACTTATGACATACTACTTATGGTATGTGCTCTAATAAGAAAGATATATCATTATTTAAAAAACACCAAAAGAATGAAGACACAATGAAGCCTGTGCCTCATGTTAGGATGTTTTTGTTTTTAATCTTCAAGTTTAGGATGTATTCATAATTTATCTATAGATACAATCAATGTGTCTGCAGATATGCTGTTAAGTCCAGTTTCAGTATACCTGTTTTATTTTGGTGAAAAAAAAACAGGCTAAAACATGACAGTGAAGAAATTAAACATGCCTTTCAAAAAACTTGTCAAGTTCTGAATTTTTTTTATACTTAAAACACATGTAAAAACATTTAGTGAATACAAAACATGTTTGAGCTTTAAGACAAGCTTTCAGTTAGTGTATCATACTTGCCATTATCTGGCCAAACAATGACATAAGTACAGATAAACTTAAGCACGGAGTAAGGACCTATTTACAGCACACTCCTTTGAACACTTTTGTTAACAAAATTTTATGAGAACCTACTGCTACTGAGGTTTTATGAGGTTAGATTGATTCTAAAAAAACCTGTTCCTAACATTTCACACAAAAGGGTAACAGAGAGATTACTATAACCGAGTATATCTTACATGACACAAGATTTACAATTATAATCATTTAACAAAAACAATTACAAGCTTTATAGTTTAATAGTTTCTTCATATGAAGAGTTTCAGACTAGTTTTTATTTCTAATATAAAATAAGTCTGAACTAGTCCTATAACATATGAACATTTTATATTCTTTGGAGAATGATAACCGAAATATATGGTAGGATTATGTATTAACTGTAATATAAAATAACCAAATGTCAAAATACAGCAGAAGGAAGGTTCACTTGTCTAAAGCCACTGTTTACAGGATTGTTCATGTTGGTTACGTTCTTGTGATCGTTTAAATCCTTTACCACATTTGCTACATTTCTGAGTCTTCTGCCAGATATGCATGTACATATGATGCATCCTTAGAGAGTTTGGTGAAGAGAAAGTTCTCAGGCATATACTACAAAGCCAGCGTTGACCAGAGCTTGTGTACACTGCCATGGATGACCATTTCAGTCTCTTACCTAAAAACATTGGTGACAATTTAATAAAAAATAATAATAACCAATAAGAATACAAAATGTCAGGTGTGGATACAAATAAATTATACATCAAAAATTTAAGACACTAGTATCATTGTTTTCTTGCTCATGGACAGTTATATTAAACAAATACAGCCACTTTTGAACTCTTTATGTAGCTGCATTTCTACTAAGCAGGAATGTTCCACACAAATTAATCTAACACAATTTTTCGAATATCTTATGTTTTATGCACTGACCAAACAAATGACACATACACATATATATTACACTTCTAGAAGTTTAAGCTTGAAAAGACAAACCTACCATGTTTCAACCTAAATCTCCACCAGACTTGGAGAAGCCTATTTTATATATATTTTGTAAGGTTGGTATAAAGAATTTATTGATAGGGAGTTTGAACTTAATTATAAATTTTATTTGAGATCCACCTAATTCAAAAACATAACCCACATCAATCACATAGCTAATGAAAAGTTTTGAAAAGAAATCATTGCATAAATATGGTTCTACAAATGTTAAATGACATCTCCCGTCCAAGGTAACTCATTTCCATTTTGCCTACATGTGGTTAAAATTTTTTTAAACTTTTATTAATATTTTTAGGGTTAGTTGTATTTCAGTCTAAAAGATTAAGCTTTGATCATATCTTTGTAAATGCAACAAAAAAACTTAAGAAAATATAGCTTTTGTTTTTTGTTATCTGATGTATATTTTTCATTTTAAAAGAAAACGACTAAAATAAGACTACTATAGAAATATATAAACTAAATAAAAAATAAAAGCATCTGAACAAATGCTTTTCTGAAAATATGTTTTAAGTCTTCAATATAAAAAAATGTAATTCATATGATAGTTATACAAAATTTTGGAATACACAGCCTTCCCATAAAATCTAAGTAATTAAACTTAAGCCTTCTGAAAAACTCTTGTCAACTGAATATAAATCCTACACCAGGATGTTTCATTTTTTCTGCACAGTTTCCTTCATTCATGTATTTCTAAAACAAAGAAATAGGTTGAGATACAGGAAATGATGCACTCTGAAAGAATATACAAGCAGTGATTTTGTTTATGTAGACGTAGAATAAAACACCCTAAAAATGTGTGGCATCAATTAACACCAACAATAAAGTTAAAAAAGGTTATGATAATAATAATTATATATATATATAATTTCATTTTAACAACTTTATTATTCTTAAGAATATTAAATCTTGAAATAGAGAGATAAAGAACTCAAAGTTAAAATAAAAGTAGAATTGAGAAATAAGAAACAACATTAACTTTCAGTATTAATATCTTTCTCAATAACAACAATATGCATTTTACTTATTTCAAGCTGTATTTACATATGTAAAATTACTATAAAACTTATAGAAACTATGGGGTCAAAGTGCATAAAACTACAGATGGTTGAGTATTTAATGAGGCAAAATATAGTTTAAGCGTCAATAGCACTGTGAAATATATTTAGCAAAGAATGGTTTTCCTCTTGCAGTAACCCTAGCCATTTGGCCTACCTGTATTGCCCAGAAACTTCTCAAAGCTATAAAAAACATGAAGCAAGTGTTAATGACACAGATGAACAAAAATTATGTTAAACATATTCAAAATACAAAGCTTTGTTTTAATGTTAGGATGACAATTGATATTGTGTTATTTTACCATACAATATTCTGATGAGATATTTAAAACAAATAAAGGCCCAATCAACAAAAAATGGATGTTTTGTTACACTAAAATCATACACAAAATATGGTGGTCACTCTCAAGACTCCTGGATCTAGACTTCAATGATCTTCACTTGCAAATAAAACAAAACCCAGACTACCACAAAACACTTTAACAGCCAGGAACATGTTCAAGTGGACAGAGCAAACTAATTAATTCAGAAATGAACATATCAAATCCACATGGATTTCACTGCAAAATACTACATGTAATACCTACAATATAATAATATGAAATGGAAAATCTATAATTAAAATAAAAGGTTCAGACAATAACCAAGTATGCTTTCTCTAACACCAAATGGCATCAATTTTGATCCTGGGATTGTTGACCTTTGTATGTTTCTGAAAAGATTTTCAAAACTAAATTCATAATTAACTTACTTTACATTTTTAGTATTATTCGTGCTTTAATTTCTCTATATCGCTATTATTTCATATTATCAATTTTTCTATTTCCCACCACCTTTTGCCATTATTTTTTTTTTGAATTTTATCTTTATAAATATTTGTTATCATTTCTTATAACTATTATCACACTTAAGTCTTTTATGTACAGTACACACCTCTTTGGCATAAACTAAATCTGACACCAACAACTCAGATCAAGGTTAAGACTGGCTAGTTCTCAAAGCTGAACATAATGCACTATATACTTATTAGTTCCAGGCAATCCTTTAAAAACGAGTTAATGTACAAATTTCAAATTAATCATCACCTAAAGCATAAAACACAGTGAACTTAGAAATAACAGCTTAATTTAAAGCTATAAATTTTTGAAACTCCAATCTCATGTATCATGAATAAACTAACAATTAAAGTAAAGAAAGAAAATATAAAGGAAAGCTTAAAGCACGTAATCTAGTTTTACATAAACAATTACTTACACTATTTTTAAAGCTAAAAACTGATATATTATGAATTCAAATTTCCCTAAATTAACTACTTAAGCTACAAAGGTTTATAAGAATAAAAAAAAAACTCTCTTATCTATAAAATAAATGAATAATTTGCAGTGTATGTACTGTATGAAATCAAGTACACTGTACCAAATGGTTTATTTTGAATTCCCCACAAAGCTACTAAAAGGTTATCTGCACTAGCCATCCCTAAGTTAGCAACAACAGACTAGAGGGAAGACAACTGGTCAACACCACCCACTGCCAACTCTTGGGATACTCTTTTACTAATGAACAGTGGATTTGACTATCACATTATAACAACCTCACAGTTGAAAGGGCACGCATTTTCGGTAACAGGGATTTTGACACAGGACCCACACATTGCAGGTCAAGTTTCCTAACCACCAAATCATGCCAAGTCCTATACCAGAGGAGACAAGCTTTTGCACGCACACACACACACATATATATATATATGTATTATAAACATAATGAAATAGCTTCGCTAACTTAGCAATAATATTAACACACAATATATTACCACAGAACAAGTTTATTACAATTATACTTAGTTTCACTTAAACATCAGTCTGCTTCATCACGCAAATAACTGGTAGCAGAATAAAAGAACATTCAAACAATGGTGTCACTATCAGAGGGTATTAGACACTGACTGGAAACTAGACTCAGATTAATCCTGAGAAATACAACAAATCTTAAAGTTTCACCTATTTCTTGATGCATTCACCGTAGACTGAATGATAATACAAAAATGTCTATTGAAATATTTTTACCATTTATATGTATATTTAATAATCTTTACAGCATCTTCCCTTAAAGTAATAAAATGGTATAATTAACATTCAGAATAAGAGATACCATCTTAGCTCAATGAATATTGATTTCATATCACTTGATTTTGTTCGCCTCTTTGTTATTCCCGATTATTGTCAGACTTAATACAGTTTAATAGCAATAAATCTTGTCCATCAGATCAGGGGAGCATCTAGCATTACTCTACCCCACATCACCTGGACTTAAAAAATTCTTATTACTCCCCCATCCCTCATCTTTAAAATGTATTCTATACAAAGCTCTTTTAGAACAGATGTAAGTACTTCCATCTATAAATGAACTTACAGATTAGTAAGCATATCTCATATTTAATAATTTCCACACAAATGATTTGAAATTCCTTTTTACTTCTCACCTGAAAAAAATATTAAAAACTGTCTATGAGAGAGTGAAGTTGAAGTAATTAAAAACATTATAAAAACATATCAGTTCTGAGGAAAAATTGTGAATAAGCAAACCTCTTAACTGATATTATGTTAACAATTATGTACAGGTCCTCTGAGGAGATAATGAACATTAGAATACCTGTACTCTTCCACAGTGGAAACAGATGATTGTCCATTTTCTTATAGAAGTAGTTACAGTTTTCAAGAGTACATACAAAATAAAAAGCTCATGACTTTGGTGAACTATATCCTCTTATCTGTACTGACAACCATATTTTACTATGAAACTCTTGCCTAAGGCATTAATATTCTTAATTTGATAATACTTGGTAAAAAAAAACTTTATTCTCAAAGGCAAAGCTAATAAATGTTATAATAAATAACACAAACATAAAAGCTATTGAAATAATAATGTTACAAGCTGCATACTGATATCAATAAATGGGCCTCGTTTACAAATATTACACACATTATGTTTTTCATCATCTACAATGCTTCAGTAATCTCACAGAGATTTTTTTTTAATTGAAATATTGTATGCATGTATTGTTATATATATATATAACAAAAACATTCCTGACAAATTAAGTAAATGTTTCATTTTAAAAAGTTTTTCTTTTAATAATAAAAACGTCTCTAATAAACAAAGATTAACCAGGAAAATCATACAATCTAAAGGCACTATTTTTTATAAAAAATTAAGGACAAAATGTAAATAGTATAGTTCTACCTTCTCATGTATGCAAAAAAACTCAAAAACGTACAGACTGCCATCATTAACAATGCAGTTAAACCAAATGACTTTTATTAATCATTCCACAGTAATTATATATGCAAATATTCCTTACTACATTCAAAGTTGATTTGGCTTTTAAATGAGCCAAAAAAAAAGAAATCAAAGAGCTTTTTCTTTTTTCATCCAATTCTTTCAAGAGGAGGCCTTATTAACTTTTAAAAAATTAAAGAATGGGGTTAAAAAAATATACTTACACAAGATGAACCAGCAAGAAGTAACTTAATACACAATAATTTCATGTAGTTATTCTGTTGTATATGATTATTTTAAAATGTAATTTTTATAACATTTGAAAAACTGAACAGGCTAAAAAAAAAAGAGTTTAAATTCTTCTTTAATTGGAATATTGTTGGTACATAGTCTGATATACAAAGAATATACAAGAAATTCTTTACATTTCTTTTCAAACGAAAAAATTTATGACCAAGTAAGCAAATTCTGTTCCACTTTTAAAAGTTTTAATAATAACAAAATTCACTAAGAAACCAAGCATAATATAACATTTTTTTTTAACTAAAAAAAGTTTAATGAGAAGGTAGGTTTTTCAGATTCCGACAAGAAAATATCAGGTAGTACTACGAAAACAATTTTGTGTATGTCTTCGGAGATGAATAAGGCGTTTAAATCCTTTTCCACAATGAAAACATATAAGGACTTGTTGGCTCTTATGTTGAAAGAAATGATGGTTTTTAAGTGTGTTTGTGGAGCGAAACAGTTTTCTACATTCTGGACATTGATACTGTATCCCACTACTGGTTGTAACAGCCATATTCTGCCAGGAAATTCTTGGGCCACCACTCCAATGCAACCTTGATGCACCTAACAAGTACGTATATCAGAATTAATATCGGGAATCAATAACAAGAATTAATCTGTACTAGTTTAATGGAAAAAACTCACCAAAACTTTAAATACAAAAATGTGTATCTATTCCACATTTCT